GGATGTGTAACCGATGTGATTCTGCAATCTGTATATGGGGTAAAAATGGGAGTTCATAACCCACTTGAATCAAAGTGTGAAATATGATATGTCAAGAACTATGTAATGTTTTGAACAACCAACAATAAAAATTAAAAAAAAAAAAGAAAAAGTGGTGTGTCAAACTGATTGATTACCTCCCATGCTGTATCATCATAAGCATGTATGGCTAGACAGCAAACATGGAAAGAATCATGAAAGCTCAAGCTCTCAGAGATAACTCTACAATGGGCTACATGGCAGCAAAGAAACACCTGGAGATAAATCCTGACCACTCCATTATTGAGACCTTGAGGCAAAAGGCAGAGGCTGATAAGAATAAGTCTGTGAGAGATCTGGTCATCTTGCTGTATGAAACTGCACTCCTGTCTTCTGGTTTCAGTTTGGAAGATCCAAAGACCCATGCTAACAGGATGTACAGGATGATCAAACTTGGTCTACGTATTGATGAGGGTGACCCCACTGCTGATGACATCAGAGCAGCTGTAAAACGGAAGAGATGCTGCCTTGGAAGGAGACGATGACACATGGCGCATGGAAGAAGTAGACTAAGCTTCTGAAGAACCACTCATATGTGTGTCCCCTACTTCACCTTCATTCCTGATGTTTTCAAGGATTTTTTTGTTCTTTGTTTTTATTAACATTTATCAAACAGTCTGTATGGCACGACAATAACTACTTGAGGGAAGATAAGATTTCTTTATACTTTTAAGTGATACTGTGATGCTTTAGGCACTAACGCAGAACTAGTAATGCTTTTTCTAGTTTCACATTGGCTTATTTTTTAACAGGTTGAGATGTTTGTTCTAAAACATGTAACCTATCATTAACTTTGTGGTCTAAAGTGTTCACTACCAACTTGTATCCCTAATAGACCAGACCAAATCTTTTGTTCCTAAAGTGCTCCAAGATAGACCTCTATGTTTAAAAGAAAAATATTTGTTAAAATGGCTTGAGTTTCATCTCGTTAGATTCCACTTTTTAAACTTTCTATGCCATTGTGCATGTACTAGTGCTCTAGAACCAGGTATGTTAAACTGAAACAACTGGCTGGCTTCTCCAGGGCTTGTTTTCCAAATAAAATTATTGAGAGGAACAAAACTTAACCCTCCCTAGGAGTGTTACAAAGCAGTTCAATCAGAAAGTCAGTAAGGCTTGTGAATGGAAATGTTTAGTACCCAAGTCAATATTCTACTTTAAAGAGTAATAAATGCAGATGAGTTAAAAAGGAACTAAATGAAAGTATGAGAACAATGTGTTATCAAATCAACAATGTCAGTAAAGTAATAAAAATATAAATTATAACAAAGAATCAAATAGAAATTATAGAGCAAACTGCTTACCTCATGAATCAGGAAGCAAAAGAGTATATTCCAAATTATCTAAGAACCTCCCACCAGGTCCTGCCTCTTAGAAATCCACAGTACCTCCCAAAGTAACACATGGATCTTTGGGAGGCATTCAGCATCCAAACTATAGCACAACACAAGCAAATGATGGATTTTTCCCTGAGCATTGGAAGTTACAGCTCTAGTTTTCTGGTATTGTTGTGGATTCATTCTGAGATATTGAGCTTAATTTATTTTCATATTTTTGTAGGTTTGTTGCTACACCTCTAGCAAAAACATTTGGCATTCAAAAGGACGTTAAAAAAATTACACCAAATACCACCTTAGAGAACTTTTTCAAGCATTCCACAAGGCAACCATCACAAGTAAGTACATATTCTTTGCTTGTGGATTTAAAGATCTCCTTTCTTAGTGGTTCATCATTCATGGTTTACCTTGTTTGTGCAAGATACCTCTTCCAGCTGATCAGCAAAAGATTTGATTCATTTGGATTATTTCTTTGCTCTGTTGACAGTTTATACAGCATCCCAAGGATAATATTACAATCTAAAATATCAAATGTTAATAGTTAAACTATGTTGTCAACCATAGTGTTGAGAATTAACAGTCAGTACCAGGAGTTGGATGTAAAGATCACAGTTTAATTTTTAATAGTAAATTTAATTTTTAATGGAAATACATACAAAGTATTCTTATCGAGAAAGAGAATCATCAGAGCAGAGAAGCCCTATTGGACACTTTTGATGATTGTGGCACCATGAAAACACATGCCATACATAATGAAAGTGTCCATGAGGTCATGAGTAGTGCTTTTATTTTGTGCAAGGCCTTGACATACTTAAAAATATGCTGTGCTGCTGCTTATCTCTAGAGATGAATTTTCAAGAAAGTCATAGTTCTCTTCACAATACAGTGTTTTTGTTGTTGTTGTTTATACTAGAGATTGAATGCAGGGATGCTTTACCTCTGAGCTACTTTCCTGCCCTTTTTATTTTTTATTTTGAGACAGGGTCTTACTAAATTGCTGAGACTAGCCTCAAACCTGTGATCCTCCTGCCTCAGCTTCCTGAGTCACTGGGATTATAGGTGCCCACCACTGTGCCTGCTACAAGGTATCCTTCTCAAGTGTTGATATGTAATGAATTTTTATATATCACTGAAATTTTTATCTTTATTTTTATTATTATTATTTTTTTGTTACTGGAGCTTGAACTTAGGGGCACTAAGCTACATCCCCAGAYCTATTTTGTATTTTATTTAGAGACAGGTTCTCACTGAGTTGCTTAGTGCCTTGCTTTTGCTGAGGCTGGCTTTGAACTCTGGATCCTCCTGCCTCAGCCTCCTGAGCCACTGGAATTACATGCACCACTATGCCTGGCTCTGAAATGTTTAATTAATTAATATCTGTAATAAATAGTATCCAGGTCAGTCTATTGTTCACTAATGTTTCATTATATTTCCATAGTTAAAATGACATATGAAATGAAGCTTCTACAAATATAGCACACCCTTGGACTGGGGGTGTAGCTCAGTTATAGAGTGCTTGGTCAGCATGCCTGAGGCCTAGTACCATAAATAAATAAATAAATAAATAAATAAATAAATAAATAAATAAATAAATAAATAAAGTGGCACACCCTCCATGATTAATGCAGACAGCTTTCATCAGTCATTTTTAAAGTTGAGTATATGCTAACAGCATTTTAGGACAGATAGATTCTTTGAGGGTCCTCAACCCTATGAATTCATTTGTATCTACTATAGCTATTTCTCTCATTGCTCTGCTGAGCTCCCTGCATAGGAAGGTATGTTGGGGCTTGATCAGATATGTTTGGAGAAATATTTGGAAGAGACCAACATCTCTGACCAACAGATCAATTTTTCTGCCATTGATCAAATATAGTGACAGTGGAACTTATTATCTAGCCTTTTCCTTAGTAAAAACATGATCAGAACTGATCTGGAACAAATCTGGAAGAGAGCTTAAAAAATGTGGTACTTGAAGACTGATCTAAAGCCAGTTCCTGGGTCAAGGAGCCAGTTCCTGGGTCAGTGAGTTCCCATAGGCTAGATTGATTCATCCATGGATTCAAACATTTTTAGAGCAAAAGCCTCACCTAGTGCAGTTTATTTTTACAGGTGAGACATGAGATTCAAGGAATCTGGGCAAATCTACCACAAGCAAGCAGCGGGGAACCTGGCCCCATTCATTGCTCTTCCTTGGGGCCACACTACATCTCCTCAAGGCTCTGCCTCTGATGCTTTCCCTCCACTCTCTAGTCATTACCATGTTCATAGTAATATGTAACAGAGAAGCTGAAAGCATGATTGTGAGGACAGGCTTTGAGCAGACCAGAGTCCGGTTCTGTTGCAGACCTTGTGTGCCAAGATAGGCAGATTAGTTTCACTCTCTGTGCCTCAGTTTCCTCCATTTTGAATTGAGCATGATGATAACGTTTCTGTTGTAAGGTTCTTCTAAGGATAGAATTAATGCACACAAGGACTTAGAATAGCATGTGGCGCATAGTGGATGCTCAGTAAAGGTCATTGTTTATTATTTGTAGTCCATACCATTAATTTTGTATGTATCACTTACTGATTTATACAGAAGCATTTTAAAACATGTCTTTCAACTCAAATTATACCAAGGGCATATTGCTGATCACTTAATTGTGCTTGTTTCCATTCCAATAATATCTTGCCCAATTTTCTGTGCATATACATGTTCAATAATTGTTTGTTTCATGTATTAATTAAATACTTCTAGAAACTTTTGCTTGCAAGATTTCTCACCCAATAATATTGTCATGCATGAGGCCAGTATTGTCAAGACTGACTTCTAATTAGGTTCATCTCTACTCAAAAACAAGAAATGAAAAGCCTTCAAATCATATACAATTATTATCTTTTAGATGCATATATTAAACAGATATTCATGGAAGTGGTGGGATAATAACAAAGTTGGATTGTTCTAAGATCTGGGGAAATTCCAGAATGAAAGTGAGAACTTAAGGTTTTTTGCTCAATGCTAGATCTCCAATGCCTAGAATAGTGCCTGACACTAGTAAGGAGAGATTATTTTTGAATGAATGAGTGAAATGTTTAAAACAGTAAAGTTAGACCCAGAACCCTTTCACTCTCAGAACACATAGAATACAGAAGAGCAGCATTTGAGAATGTGTCCTATTATGGACCACGTAATAGGATTTGAATTATATCATCTGTCTTGGGGATCAATAATGTTTTCAAATTATTTTAGAAGGAAATAATACTTTTTTCTTAAATAATTTTCAGTCCATGCTCTCCTTTCTGTGTTTGGCCATAAAAATCTCTATCACTGACACAGCACTCGATCGTTGACATAGCCTATTCTCATCCCTTGATCCTAGGAGGCTGTTCCTGGGAGGCTGGAAGCTTATGGCCTCATTACTATGCCATTTTCCCCAAGACAGAATGTAGAGCTGGAGACTGTGCTGCTAGTAGGCAAGAGGACAGGGTCCTCTATTTTCACCTTGCTGCCCTTCCCACCAAGTTCTACTGCCCCCATACTTTCAATATTGTCCAGCCTTGTTTGTTAGACCCTTCCTGTGAAGAGCAGAGACCTAGGAGGGCAGCATGAACTTCATCTCCACCTCCAGTCTCCATCCTGCTCATTTATTCTTTACACACTATAAGAGGGAGACTTTAAAACACAAGCAGCCTATAATCTGGTAAATTCCAGGCGAAGTCCTCCTAAGTGACCCTAGCTATATCCTTCTACCCTCCTCTCAGTTGTTCCTCCCCTTCTAGGAGACTCTCCATTTCTCAAGGCTTCTCTGCTCACCCTGCTCTCATCTGTTCATGACCACACATGTGGGTTCCTCTGCAGGACACTGGCTTCCTCATCTTTTCCTTGGGGCATGTTTAAGGGCTTAGCTGAAGGGAGACTTCCAGGAACTGCCTACATGGAGTAAAGTCCCATGTACCCTGATCTTTCTCTATCTCAACACTCATACTATTTTATTATAATTCCTTGTGATATCATCTGACATCCTTATCATACTTTGTGAGGAGGCCCATGGAAGTCCCATTCATTTAGATCTCCAACATCTAGCACAATGCCCAGAAGTAGTAGGCACTAATGAATAGTTGCCTATTCTATTTCCTCAGAAGAATAAAACAAACAGCAATAAGCCAACCCTTGACCTAAAATAGATTAGAGGGTGTACTTTACAGGAAACAGACTAATATGGGCTGTATTCTGTTTTTGTTTCATTTTTCTTTCCCTCTCTTCAGATCAAGTTAAGTTAGGTAGGGATATTAAGGTAAGGTTATTAAGTTTGGTAGGGATATTAAGCTGTAATTAGTCCTCTTCCAGGCCTTCAGTGTGGTAGCTTCTGATGACTTTATATGCTGTTGTTCTGTGCCCTGAATGATTGGATGAATCCTATGAGATGATACAGCAAAAGCTATCTGACTGGTTACAGACTGCTGGGTATTCAGCCATCTGGCCTGCAGTCAGGCTTTGTATGGCCTCACAGTGTTCACTGCTACTGGCTTAAATTTATCTCTGGGGGCTGGGTGTGGTAGTGCATGCTTATAATCCCAATAGGTCAAGAGGCTGAAGAATCACAAGTTCAAATCCAGCCTCAGCAATTTAATAAGGCCCTAAGCAATTCAGTGAGACCCTGTCTCTAAATAGAATATAAAAAAGGGCTGGGGATGTTGCTCAATGATTGAGTGACCCTTGGTTTAATCCGCAGTACCCAAACAAACAAAAACCTTTCCTCTGGGTATTGATCCACTTTTTAAAAACCCATTGGTTTCACATCAACATCCTCGGACTGTTTTGTCTCTGGAATCATCAGACAGTGATGTGACATGTGCTTTTCTATTTGCTGCATCCACATAGTTACTGCTTATTTCCTTAGTGCCAAAACCGAGGGTCAGTTTTAGGCAATTTTAATTTTTTCACRGTATAATAAAGAGGAATTTTTTTTTCTTATATTGATAAAGTTCTAGGAATTGTTGTAAATACAGGTTTATTTGTCTGGAAATAGACTATTGCCCTAAGTATAACATATAAAACATACCTGTGTTAAAATCCTATTTATTATGAAATGGATCTGGCCCACTTGATAATTTGTTTTGTTTGGCCCTAGTTGACCACCGAGTTTGTAACTTTTGAACTAATTCATCATCTATATTGTTTCTAATTTTAAATCATAGCCTGTAGATTAGTGTTTTCCAGAGGATAAACTGTCATTATATTTTTCAATCATTATTTAAATAATTAGAAATAGATCAGATTAGTTTGAAATGAGCTGTATATCTGATTAAATGTGAAAGTAAATGACCAGCACCTGTTTTTCTTAAATTACCTTCTAAAACTATTATATCATGTAAAGTAACAGCACACTAATCTAAGTTCCTGACAACACTCTGCTATGAATTTTAGCCCTTGGACAGTCACTAAAATGCTTAAGACTTCAGTTTTCCTACAGGAAAAATTAGAATATTGGGTTTGATTGACATTTAAAACTATGCTACTCTATCTGGCGCCTAGCAAGTCTAAATAAGTTTTAGCTGAGTGAATGAGCTCACGAATCAAACTTGAACATGTGGATTGCTACCAACTTAGGAAGATTTGGTCTTTCTCAGTAAAACAGCTAGGCTACTGACATTCTCTCTGTTGTTTGTTTTGTTTTGTTGATGTGTGTGTGTAATTCCATAAGCAAAAGAGATAAATTCCCTGGCTCATGGTCTCATGGCAGAAGGTCTCTTATCCCTCATATACAAGATTTTATAACCCAAGCTCACTGTCTTTTAACTGCCTGCCTATCTGATTCTGCTCTTTTATCACTCATTGATTTGTTTCATCTTTTTTCAGACTGATATTTATGGGCTGGCAAAGAAGTGTAACTTGACGGAGCGCCAGGTGGAAAGATGGTTTAGGAGTCGGCGGAATCAAGAGAGGCCTTGCAGGTTGAAGAAATTTCAGGAAGCCTGGTAAGAATGATGGTCAAAGCTGTTGCAGTTCTGCAGAATTATATGGAGCAGAGTGGTCCTCTTAGGATACTAACATTGGAATAGAGGAAGGGTTCAAACCAGCTCTGTTATGTCAGAGTGTTATGCCTGCTCCTTTCCCTTCTGTACTTCCATTCCCTACTCTCTGAAATGAGCCAGCTATGAATTCTCTAAGGTAGACAGGAGACACTAAATACTTAGAAAAATAAATACCAAAAAAAAAAAAAAACAGATAAGAGGTGACATATGTCTTACCTGGTGTTGTCTCTTCTAGAACTGAGGTTGGTACTAGGTCACAAGGCTTTTCTCCGGTTTCCAGTCACTATGATGGTAGGAGCAAAGGAGGTCTCAGAACATATCCCAGTGTTTTCCTCAGGACACTAACTGTGAGGACCTCTTTCTGTCTGACTTAGTTCATGAGCCCAGCCCTGCCTGTGGGTTGCACAGCCTGTGCCTCTTGGATCCCAGATGACTTAGCAGGAGGGTCAGGATGGGCTGGGGCTCAAGCATGGTCTAGAATAGTCTCCAGGCAGGGAGGCTCCACTGGATTTATTTTTTGTTTCCTTTGAGTTCTGCTGTGTTTTCCCCCTCGTATTATAGCACTTTGGGTAACTCTCTTGGTGGCAGAAACTGCTCAAAAAGGTGGTCTCAATCAATGCTCTTACTATCTCCTCTTCTCTATATCCAGATGAATGTATATTAGTTGGTTTGTGTCTGCTACCACATTTGACACTGCCTGTTTCTTTCTTAAGGCCTTTACATTTTCTAGTGACTTCTACCAGGTAATTTTATTTTGATGTTAAAATAAATCACTGGCCAAATTAAGAATTAAATAAATAACTGGAGCCTGTGGCAAAACTTCAGTGACTTCATTTAATTTCTCTATACATTCCTGAGTCTGTAATCCAACTGTGAAATTGGCCAGTGTCTAGAGGGACAGATCCATTCTTCAGGGTGTCTCTAAACACCCTCTTTCTGGTCAAAGGCTTATACTGCCTTTCCTGCAGTGGCTCCCCATGCATGGCCTTGCTATTTCTAACTGGCTTCTCTCTGGTTTTTAGCTTTTGAAAAATTAGTTAATACTGCTTTGCCACTAATGTCAGGTTGACACAAAGGATATCTGTAACTCATCACCATAAAGAAGGGCATAGTAGATCAGGTCTCATATGGCATCCTCCTTTTTTTCTTCTGACATTCATTCATTATTGCTAACAGATGATTTTTATCTTAAAGTGCCCAGGCTGGGACTCATTCTCTGTTTCTGAGCTGAATCATATTCCAGTGAAATTCTCTGGCAATTTCTTATGCATTGTAGTGCCTCGCAGTTTATGAAAGTATGTTTGATTCTCCCACCAACAGGGGCTTATTATGTTTGAGAAATGAGAAACTGCACATCCATCTAGCTTAAGGAACTGGCTCAAAGTTACCTAGCTGTCTGAGGAGCTGTTGTGTTCAAGTCTTCTCTCTCCTATTTTGATATAATTTCTGCTGCCTCATACTGCGCCTGCCACCTCCTGCCTTCTTCTCACCAAGCAGAGCATACCCTACACAGAGTAACATTTAGAAATTTGGAAACATTTGGGCTGTGCTCTGCATTGGAAGATGTTCACAGAGTTCAGGCTAGAGAAGGGAATTTCAAGTTATCTTAACCAGTCAGTCAGGTCATGCAGAGGTTCATGTTGAAGATCTCAGCATGGAGTACTATCCTAGAGTGTATAGCAGTCTAGATTTTAAGAGGGAAGTAAACATGTAAGGCCTGTTCCCTAGCCCTAACCAGCTGACTGGGGAGACCTGACCATTACCCATAATGCCATAACACCTATTGTTATTCCACTCCAGCAATGCAGGCCTGTACACCAGCAGGTTCATGGTCACGTTTAGATGTACTCTGGGACTTCAGAGGGGGGTGTCAGCATATCATCAGCATTAGACAACAGCTTTTCAGAGTAGACAAAACCTTATTATCTGAACCTTGAAGAATGGGTTGAGTTTCCATAAGAAAAGAAAGCAGGATTTGGGGATAGAATTTTCACATAAAGCAAAGATGCGAAGCAGGAAATTATCTAATATGTTCAGGAAACAGTGAACCCACAAGTAAAATTTAAGCTTTATCTTATTTAGCAATACCACAAATTTATTCTATCAGATAACTGTTAAAAGTTGATTATGAACTATGTAAATAGATGAAGGTAAAATGCCAAGCTGTTTAATTTTTACTATTTACTTTTATTCTACTAATTCAGTGAACCCACAAGTAAAATTTAAGCTTTATCTTATTTAGCAATACCACAAATTTATTCTATCAGATAACTGTTAAAAGTTGATTATGAACTATGTAAATAGATGAAGGTAAAATGCCAAGCTGTTTAATTTTTACTATTTACTTTTATTCTACTAATTTCTGGAATGTACCTCAGAAATCAGTGCCTCAGGTACTAGCCCAGACATTTTGGAAATCTCAGGAAACCTGTATTTCCTAACATTTTTAACCTCTTACAAATTACTCTCCAACAGACAGAAAATCCTGTTGGTGCTCTCCATAATGTCTAAATACATTAATCTCTGAGCACCCTGAGCACAGTTAATTGTTTCCATGATTATTTCCTTTAGTGGTAACCCCTGTGTCCCATGCCACAGCATTCGAGATTTTAGTCCACAGACGGTCCTTTAAAAAAATCAAATTCCATATTACCTGGACATCTTTCTTTTTAAAGTAAGCATTTCCATCTAATAATAAGAAGTAACTCCAAAGTACCCAAGGTTTATAGAAAGAATACCCAGTGTCAGAGGGAGGACTCTCCAGGTGGCTGTTAACTCACCCTTGCCTGACCACACAGGTACACTGCCTGCTCCATTTTACCTCTCCCACTACAGAGTCCCATCCTGCCCCATCTGGCCCCACCAGCTTCTTTCACCATTGGTCTAAATCCACACTTGCCATTTTCTCTCTGATTTCACTCTGCAGTTCCTCTTCTCCTACTATTACCAGCTTTGCCTAATGGATCAATTTCTGAATTTTTCTAGTGTTTTTTTCCTTCCCTCCCACAATTATGTTTATATAAGCCTCTCCTGGGAATAAGAAGTAACCAAATAAACCAAGTAAAATTGCATCAGCAAGTACATCATTATTCATGTTATCATCCATGATGTGCAGTAGTTCTCAAACTTCTTYGTCCAGGATTCCATGTTCTCTTAAAAATCCCAAGAACTCAATTAGTCAGACATTTACTGTATTAGACATTAAAACAGACATTTATAAAATATGAGACTGCATGAACACACTTTTCACCAGTGCAGTTTCATTCAGAACAACAATATGATCACATGTTATGCAACCTCTAGAATTTACCACTGCAGCCTTGTGAGAGAATGAGAGCGAAAGGGGGAAACACTGTTTTAGTATTATAAAAATATTTTGACCTCAGGGATCCCTGGTGCACACTTTGAAAACCTCAGGTATGGTGTGATGAAACCTGAGTAGAACTGGTCCAGAAAAATGTGAAACTTGGGTTGCACTCTTGCATCTGATTATTATTATTTAATGACCTTGGTGACTTACATGATCTCACTCAGCACCAGTTTCCTTTAGTATTTATCTTATCTACTTTTTAGGGTTGTGAGAATCAAGCAATGGTCTGCAAGAAGTGGCTAATTATAGTATCAACTTCATAATCTTGTTAAAATAAATGTTAAAATCTTGATAAAAATGTGATAACATGTGTTTGGCATAGTGCCTGGCACAGACTCAAGATGTCAATAAATGTTTGAGATACAAAAGATTTGCCACCTAGACTTTTGGCTGCATTTGTGGGCTGTCTGGCCTTATCATCTATTTTTTGATTCTTGTCTGGACAAGATAACCCAGGGAGCCAAAGAAATGCTGTCTAGGCCAAACACAAAGATGACAAGTGCAGACAGGTTTCAACTCTCATTTTGTAAAATGCCCTTTGAGTATTTTTATGGTTCAACTTTCTGAGCATTGAAATCCACTTTTTTTCCTCCTATGAAAACAAGCTATGAGGGGCTGGGGCTGGGGCTCAGCAGTAGAGCACTTGCCTAGCTTTTTAGAGGCACTGGGTTAGATCCTCAGCACCACATRTAAATAAATAAATAAATAATAGTATCATGTCCAACTACAACTAAAATATACATATATATTTTAAAAAAACAAGCTATGAAGAAAGACTATGATCTAACTCAGAGGCAATGATAAAGTTCAGGAAACACTACTAAATGCAGAGTCCAAAGACCTGTGATTATAGCCTCAGCTTTATTATTTTTTACTACATGAACTGAGAAAGTAGCCTGGCTATAATGAGACTGATTTTTCATCTACAAAATCAGTATATGCTTATGTCCCTATTTCCTACCTGTCTTACAGAGATGTTGAGGAAAACACTGTAAGGCCTCCCTCAAGTTTATTTTGGTATTATTATTGCTTCAGCAATCATTAGATAAAATAGCCATAACTTTTAAAAAAATATTTATTTTTTAGTGGTAGTTGGACACAATACCTTTATTTTATTTTACTTATTTTTATGTGGTGCTGAGGATCAAACCCAGGACCTCACATATGTGGTGTGAGGTGAGCGCTCTATGGCTCAGCCCCAGCCCCAGCCCTGCCATAACTTTTAGTATAAGTTTTTTTTTTTTTTTTTTTTTTTTTTTTTTTTTTTTAACGTGATGCTGAGGATAGAACCCAGAGCCCTGCACATGGCAGGCGAGCATGCTACTGCTTAAGCCACATCCCCAGCCCTAGTATAAGCTTTTTGTTTATTTTGGAAAGTTGCAAACATATACAAAAGTAAAAAGACTACATAATGAACTATGACTGCTACTACCAATCACCAACTTCAACAATCAACTCAAAGCCAATATTATGCTATCTAAATACCTCCTCAGGCTACTCTCCCCAGCCACAGGTAATTTTTTAAGAATATGTCAGGCACTGTATGGTTTAACTACTAAGTCGTTAGGGTGTATCTCTAAAAGGGAAGAACTCTTTATTTTAAACATAAGTGAAAAACCACTATCATACTAAAAGAATTTTAATTTGCAAACAGATATTTAATGAGTGTTTGGATTTTCTTCATTGTCTTATGATTTTCTTTACAGATTGTTTATTTGAATCAGGATCTAAATTTAGATTCATATGTTGCTATCAGTTGATGTCGTTTAAGTTCTTAATATGTAAAGTTTTCCCCATACACGAGAAAACTATTTTTTTTTCAAATTCTGCTTTTAAGAAAAAAGAGTAAAGTCTGGCCACATGCAAGTTTTTCAAGTAGGAATTAAATGGGAATAAAACAGGTTACTTTTTAAACTTTGTTTTATTTATTTATATTTTTATGTGGTGCTGAGAATCAAACCCAGGCTTCACACATTCTAGGCAAGAGTTCTACCACTGAGCCACAACCTCAGCCCCTAAAATAGGTTATCAAGCTAATTAGATTGCTTCTCTCTACGTTGATGACAATTCATTATTTTTTATGTATCCAGAACTGGCCTAGTCATAATAATAAGTAGCTAATATGTATTGTTGCTTACTTCATACTAGAACCATTATCAATACTTTTGTAAATTATCTTTAATTCATTTTACATTTTGGGGTAAGTTTTGTTATTCCCATTATACAGATGAGGAAGTTAAGACTTCCTGAGGTGAAATGATTTACCTAAGGTTGTAGATATATAATAAATGGCAGAGCCAGGATATGAATTTAGATTTCTTTGACTCCAGAATGCATGTTCTTCCAAACTCTGTCATACCAAATCCTTTTCTTCTCAGATGTCAATCATGTTTATAAGGGAGTAAAGACTTTTTTTTTTCTTTTGGCAGCTGGAGATTTGCATTTTACTTAATGATTACTGTTGCTGGAATTGCATTTCTTTATGATGTAAGTTCCCTTTTTGATATCTTTGGTTGGAATCTGCCTTTAATTTTTAAAGTTTCTGTCTATGAATTCCTTTGGGATATAATACCTCCAGTTAGATAACCAGGTTTAGAGCTTTCTCTTGAAATTCAAGACTTTGCTCAAATATTTTATTGGTATGGATGTCTCAAGATATTTTTATTGCTACAGACACAGTAATTGAATCAGAAATAATTTAGTAGATTCACTTGTTCAAAATAATCCCCACAATGAGATAGCACTATTTACTGATCCCAGATTCATTAGAAGCAGTGAATTTGGTGGGGGTGTCATATAGGAATATGGATAAATACCTAGACAGGGATAACTGTGTACAACAGAAGCAATAAGAATATACAAAGTCGAGTTTTCCTGTGCGGTGTATCTTTGCCCCCAGTAAACATCGGGGAGAGCTGTTTTCTGTTGAAATTAGCCTTTGACTCTGACAAATTTATTTATTCTCTCCTGGCTTCCTGTTTTTTTTTTTTTTCCAGAAACCTTGGGCATATGACCTCTGGGAGGTTTGGAATGGCTATCCCAGACAGGTAAGACCCCTTTAATCTAGCTCCTCCCCTTTTCAACACCCAGTCCCCCAAAATTGCCCCTTAGGTCTTAGTCCTCTTTCTACTATTTGCCCACTACCGTGCCATCATCGGCTCTTTCTCTATCTGGGTTTCCTTATTCTTGGTGACTCATCATTTGTCTCATTCCTTAGTTTTTTTCACAGGTTAAATGAATGATATGTTTAGATTTAAATATTCCATTTTACCATTTGTTTTTATTTGTATCCACTCGATTCATTTCCTTTTGTATTCCCATCTTGCTTTTCTGTGGGACAGTTTTTTTTTTTAAATATAGTTCTGTATCTTTTCTTCTTACCTTTACTTTATTTATTTATTATTTGTTTTTATGTGGTGCTGAGGATCAAACCCAGTGCCTCACAAGTGCTAGGCAAGTGCTCTGCCACTGATCTATACCCCAGTCCCCACATTCAAGTTTTTTAAAAAGTTGCTATCCCATTTCTTCCCTTCTGTTGACTTTTCAGTGCTTTTTAATTCCTTATTAGTTATCCTATCCTAGAGATTACAATATACATCCTTGACTAATTGGAGTCTAATACAAATTAGAGCTCTGTTTTTTTTTTTTTGTTGTTGTTATTGAAAAGTCATTAGAATATACCATTTACTTTCCTGATTCAAATGTTTGGAGCTCTGCATTTATTTTTATTATTGTTTTGTAAATCAGTCAAGTTATTCTTTTCTTGGTATCCATTCCTATCTGCATTGCCTTGCTTCCATCTAGGATTATTATCCTTCTGGTTGAAAAAGAGTCCCTTTGGTATGTTTTTAACAGTTGGTCTGCCAGATTTTGTTTGGCTAAAAATTGTTGTATGACCTTTGATTTTTAAAGGACATTTTGCTGGGTACAGAATTCTAGGCTAGCAATTATTTTTCTTCACCACTTCAAAGATGTTGCTTCATTTTCTTCTGGATCCCATTGGCTTCTTTAAGAATTTACCTGTCATTTTTACTTTTGCAAAGAAGCAAAAAGAAAATAATGTCTTTTTCCTCTAGCTGATTTTAACATTTTATCCTATCTTTCAGCAGTTTTATTATGATATACATAGATATAGTTTTCTTTGAACTTTTCTTGCTTAGTGTCCATCTTTCTTAGTACATTTGCAACCTGTGATTGATGTGTTTTTTGTAAAATTCTTAGCCATTGCTTCTGTTCCTTCCTTTCTCTCTGATCTTCTGGAATTCAAATTACAAGTGTGCTAATATACTGGACCATTAAACTGGGCCTCATATATCTCTTATGCTTTTAAAAATATTTTCTATCCTGTTCACTTTCTTTGCTTCAGTCTCTTGAGAGAATCTCCACAGTCTTTTGGATTTTGCATGTCACGTGAAGTGAAGCACTGTCTTTTGTTCTACACTATTTTTTCAGGGATGTTTGTATAGCAAACAGTTGCAAAATATAGGGATACTCTTTTCAGAGAAAAGAGAAACATGCTACTGTTCATCATGAAAGAATTAGGTCCCCTAGCTCAGGGTTCCTCTCATGTAACCCAATTTACTGTGTATGCCATTGTCATTTGGTCCTCTTTGTTTAGTCTTATGGAAACTGAGGATGGAATAAGTGGCCCAGATACTGATACTCTGGCTACTGCTATTACTGTAAATCATAAACTATACTTTATCTCCTGCCTTCTATTAGCAACCAGGAAACTTGTGGCAAATCAACCTGTTATCATGAAAATGGGTTAAAATTTCAGGTACTTTACAGTTGGGTCTTTTTTATACTTTCATGTCCTCCAGCTTACTACTGCTTTTTCCAACAGTGTCTAATCTGTTGCTAAACACATATTTTGAATTCATAGTTTCAGTTTCTGTATTTTTCAATTCTCAATTTTTTATGTAATTATTTTTTATGGGTTTCAGTTCTCTACAGAAAATTTCTCTTTTAGCTTGTTTTTTCGTTATTTTGGATATAAATCAGTTAAGTCTAATGTGTTCACATTTGGATCTGTTTTCTTTCTTGCTCCTGTCTCCTTCTCCTTTATAGCTTTTGAACGACAGACATTGGATGTTTAAACATAGATGGTCAGGATGATATTTTCCTTCTCAAAGTATTATTTTCACTTCTGTTGGGCATTGAAGTATGTCATGTGATTGATCTACTTTTGTTTTGTGTGGACCACAATCTTTGTGTGGGTAGGTGTGTTTCCAGCTTACCCATAAATTTCACTGTTTTCTTCAGTGGCTTTAAATAGAAGAATACAGTGTTTACCTTGACTTCTTTTCCTTGGATGGCCTGAACACCAGTTTACCTCCTAGTACTGTGAGATTATCAAAAATCCTCCTTAAAACTTTTGCTGCCTTTTAGTTTCTGGCCTCCATAACTGCTTATAAATTGGCATATGCAGACTTTGTGATATGCATAAAAATGATTTTCTTTGAATTTATTCTGCTTAGCCTTTGTAGTACTTGCTTTATAAAATGTTTTCTTGAAATAAAAATTTTACTTTAATGTGTTTTTCTTTTCTTTGGGGATCTTTACTCCACAGGTTCTGGATGCCTTGGTTGCTCTCATATACCTTCAAACAGATATTCCCTTTTTTATCCCTTTTGTTCATATTTTTAAGTTTTTTTCACTAAGGTTAGTCATAAAAGGTTTATTTGTCATAAAAAAGAAGAAACTAAATTGTTTATGATCTTATTGAGGATGATGAGATCATCATGGATAAAATAAATAGTCTTTTTAATGTGTTAGCTTCAGTGTTAAAAAATCAAAGAAGGTTAGACCAAAAGAAACCCAGGCACTATCTAGACTTTAACCCAGTACTATCATCTTCCATCTCTAACTTTCTCTTATCTTCTCGGGTGTATCAATCATCTTGATATATAATAAATGATCCCCAAACTTGGTGCCTCAAACAGTAAGCATTTATTTGGTCATGATTTGGGTTGGCAATTTAGGTTAGGCTCAGCTAAACATGTCAGCTGAGWTCATCCCTGAATTTTCAGTCAGTTAGCGGCTGACCCTCATTCATGTTTTTCTCAGTCAGCCCCTTTATTCTCTTCTTTGCAGCCTCTCCAGCAAGATAACTAAGGTTTCTTAAGGGTGCTTATGAAGTCTGTGCTTCCATCCCTTTGGCTTATATCCCTTTGACTAAAGACCGGGATCAAGTCCATAGGTAGTGTAGGAGGGAATCACACAATGTCTGGATACCAAAGTCAGCATTCTGGTTGGGCATCAAGGTAACAATCAGTCACACCAAGTAATAGATTGCCTCAACTTAGCTAAAATAAGCATTCCCTGCTGTACAAGTATTAAGAGAAAGCCTAGCAGTGAAAGTTTATTTCTTAATTTTTTCAGAAGTTTTAGAGTCCTTAAGTAAATGTGCATACTTTATTACTGTCCCATTTGAGAATGGATGAATTTTGACCACCAGACTATCACCAGAAAAGATAAATTTTCAGTAGTATTCAGGAAACATTAAACAAGGAGAAGCATAGGAGGAGCAAAGCAGATTTCCTATTGTTTTTAAGTAAATATTTTTATAATTGATTTTCTAACTTAACTTCCATTTAGTTAATGTAAGACAATTACAATGAGTTTTATGAACTATTGAGATAAAACATTTAACTTGATTTTGGGGTGCTTCTCTACCTTTTTAGAAATAAGTCACTTTGAAATATTGCAAATTTGTTTCTGTAAGTTGAAAAAAAGAAATATATATCAACATTATTTTAGGAATTTTTTTGGACTATAAATTTATCAAAATAAATTGTTGACAAGATGACATTTAACGCAATGATTACTTTCCTTTTCCTCAGCCATTGCTGCCATCCCAGTATTGGTACTACATTTTAGAAATGAGTTTTTATTGGTCTCTGTTATTTAGCCTTGGCTCTGATGTCAAGAGAAAGGTAAGTGTCTTATTTACAAAATTTCTTCTATATAAGTTTCCTCAAAAAAATTTATCCTTCTCCTCAAAATTCTAATTTTTTTAAATTGTATTTTATATGTATTTATTCTGGTTCATTTCTTTTGCTTTTGATAATACATGAAATAATGTAAATTATGCCCCTGCTTTTGTGCCTTGGTAAATATTTTCTGTGAAACCCTATTGAAGCTTTAACTTTGAAGCCCCACTCCATTCAATAAGAAAAGAAATTTCTTTTATGTTATCTGTTTCTTTTGATTTAGAAATTTAATGTTTTTAAAGCACAGGAAAAAAAGTTAGTTTTCATTCCACAGCCACATCTCTTAGTTTTACTTTACATAATACTTTCCGAATTTTTCCCTAAATTCATCAGACATTCTTCTTGGGAAATTTTGCTTCAAGCATTATTAACTTTATTTTATGTTCATAGAAACTGAGTCACAGCCATCCAAATGCCTCTTCTGAAGTCACAAAGTGATGAATTTCAGGGAATGTATGGTTGAACTTTTTGCTGGTCCAGCAAACCATTTATTTTATTGTGTTTTATTAATTTAGTTAGTTTTTTTTGCTAGTTGGAATTGAACCTAGGGGTGCTCTACCACTGAGCTACATCCCCAGTCTTTTATTTCCTTTGAAACAAGGTCTTGCTAAGTTTCTGAGGCTTACCTCAAACTTGTGATCCTCATGCCTCGGCCTTCCAAGTTGCTGGGATTACAGGTGCACCACGGTGCCTGCTCAAGCAAACCAATTTAGACCCTGAATGCAGTCACAAGAATTCCTCATATGTAAGCAACACAGATGAAATGATAAAACTGTTGGCCTATGCAAAAGTCTGGTTTGTAACAAAATTTGATAAATAAAATTAAGTTTAATTCAATATTAGGTAAAATGAAGTTGGCTTGATTAAATGCTTATGGTGAGTGATGGATGTTACTCATCACTAGGGGGCATACTGCAGTCAACTAGACATCTTCAATGAAAACAGATTCTCTATATGTAAAAACACACTGTGAAAAAATCTGATAGAAATTATTTCCATTTCCATATAACTCAATAGTAGCTATAGATTAACTGTTGCTAATTTAGGCTAATAATACATACAACTTAATTGGTTCTTTTTCTTAAGGATAGAATAAAATAGTTTTTTAAAGAAGATTTTCCTAGATATATAGGTTGATCCTATTATAACCTTTATTTCTTCTACCTTTGATTTGATTATAATTAAAATTAAGTATATGTTTTATGTTGTGTAAACTCATACCTTTAGAGACAAAAGAACTACTAGGGGATGGCTGAATCACACCTCTGCAGTCAGTTGCCTGGGTTTGAATCCCTGACTTTATGACTCACTAACATATTGGTTAAAATCCCTACACTTGGGTCTAGGCTTGTAGCTCAGTGCTAGAGYACTTGCCTAGCACTCGTGAGGCACTGGGTTCAATTTTCAGCACCACATAAAAATAAATAAATGAAATAAAGGTATACAACTAAAAATATTTTTAAAAAATCCCTAAACTTGGTCTCTTCATCTATAAAGTGGAACTAAAAATAGTTCCTATCTCCTCTGGTTGTTGTGAGGATTACATAAAACAATTCCTGGTTTTCAGCAATTGCTCTATAAATCTGTTATTAGTGTCATACTAAGTCTTTTAGTTTGGCTTCAGGGAAACTGAAATCTTTGTTTTTTTAAGCATCTTTATTGAAATAGTCACCAAATTCTTCAACCATTTTAAACATGTAATTTATTGGTTTTTAATATGTTCCCAGTTGTGAAATCAATTGTTTTACCACCTCTGAAAGAAACCTTGTACCCGTTAGCATCACTCCCTGTGTCTCTCAGCCACTGGCAACTGCTAATCTATCTCTGTGGATTTTCCTTTCATGGATATTTCACATAAACAGAATCATGCGATATTTGGTGATTTTTGTGTCTGAAACCTTTTACAAAGCATAATATTTCAAGGTTTGTCCATATTCTGTTGTTTATGAGTCAGACTTCATTAATTTTTATTGCTGCATAATTGTCCACTCTTTGGATATACCCCATTTTATTCATGTTTCAGTTGATAGACATTAGGGTTGTTTCTTCCAATTGACTCTATAAGTAATCCTGTGAATATTCATAAGGAAGATTTTACATGAACTTATGCTTTCATTTCACTTAAAAGTGAAATTGCTGGGCAAGATAATTTTATATCAAACTTTTTGAGAAACTGCCTGCCAGACTGTTTAAGAAAGCCACTGTGCTATTATATATTCCTTGCAGCAGTGTAAAAGGTTCTGAATTCTCTACATCCTTGTAAGCACTTGTTATTGCACATCATTTTTTATAGCTATCCTAGTGAGTGTGAAGTGATACCTCAGTATGGTTTTGATTCACATTTCCCTGAAAACGAAGGATGTTGCACATCTTTTTTGTGTGCTGATTGGCTATTTGTACTTCTTTGCAGAAAATCTCTTACGTTTTTATGCTCAATGGTGGTAGCTTTCCTTAACCTTGATTTTTCTGATATGGTTATTCCAGATTCATTTGTTACTTATTTCATATGCAGTTACTTACTTTAATGGTTGTAGAGTTTTACTATATCATTTTTCCCTTTTGGAATTAAACAAGGAATAAACAATACATGTGAATGTATACAAGGACATGCTTTTGTATGTGTATTTGTTACGTGTGTGTGCATCTCTGTATGTGTACATGTATGTCCAGTGTGGGGCAGTAGAAAGAATAGCATATGATAGGGGTTAGATGACAACTATTCAATGCTGTCTCAAACGTAAATAACTTTGTCAATGAAGATAATACTTGGCCTAGCTTTCTCACAAAGATTGTGTTTAAAAATTAAAGTGAAAGTGCTTTATAAATTTCAAAACATGCAGATGCAGGTTATTGGTATTATTATTATCATTATCATGTCCTCCAGTGATTGGGAAATGACTGCATTTGCTTAATGGCCTCTATTTTCCTCTTGTTATATAGGATTTTCTAGCTAATGTCATCCACCACCTGGCTGCTATTAGTTTGATGAGCTTTTCTTGGTGTGCTAATTATATTCGCAGTGGGACCCTCGTGATGATTGTGCACGATGTAGCTGACATTTGGCTGGAGGTAAACATTTGCCTTTAAAAAATATATTAATAATACCACTCCTGGGTTTCTGTAACTGCTCACAGAAAGAATTGTCTGTGCACTATTTAGTAGGGCTCTTTTTCTTGAAAACACTTAAAGTCTGAGAATGTTTCTGAGTTCCTAGATCCTTCGATATGAAAGAAATCAAACCTCTTGGTTTTCATTTTCTAGGCTTCTCCATGGTGCAGGTGAAAGGTTAATTTGTGGGATTCCACTTATGAAAGTTGCATGCTAATGCTAGCTCTGGGAGTAATATGACATATTTGAAGAAGGAACAAACTTTAACCTTTTAGAAGGAATATTTGGATTTATGGTACTCTGGATTCTCAAAGTTGTAAGGCACCATCTATCCATTTAAGCCAATGCTTGAATACCCCATTCTTCAGCCAAAATAATTCCTTGCTTTAAGGAAGGCAAGCTGATATTTTTTAAAAGTCATCATTTTCTAAAAGAGAAAAAGYGGTTAGGGTATTTTCTGAAGCAGAAAACCTTAAGACAAGAGTCTTCCTTATCCCATACCACATGAAATATGAGGAACAAAGCAATATTAGGACAGTTTTCTTGACCTGTTTCTGTGATACATCAGTTCCTGTTGACCTTAAGGCTGTTGCTGAAGGATCCTCTCACTGCCAGATCTCCTGCTGTATTTAGAGCAACATTTCCCAGAACCTCTTAGTTATTCACTTCAATATACTCATTTATAATGAACCCAGGGAAAATGATGCTAACCCATTTTGGTTCAGGATTGCTCCTTGGAGGGCTAATAACTAAATATAGGTTGATATGGAAGAAATTAAATTTAATAGACTCTTATTCTTCTTGATTGGAGTTTAGAAAACTTTTTGGTAAAGGGCCAGGTAGTAAATCTAGTTTTGTGGGCTGCATGTGATCTCTGTCACATATTCTCTTTGTTTTTTTTTTGTGAGTTTTTTATACCCCTTTAAAAATATGAAAACCATTCTTAAGGTTTGACCAGCTTTAGCCCATGGGCTGGACTGTAATTTGCCAAACCCTATTTGAGAAGTAACCAGAAGTCATTTGAAGCCTTTTCAAAGCACCTGGTTACAGTTAAATTATTATCTGTGTACTAAATGTTGTTTCTACTTTGTCCATAATTGTAATTAGATATGTAAATCCCATTCTGAGGGTCAAGATTATTGGCCATTTACTTAAGGCAATAAATGGCTTTGAAAAAGAACGATTGGGACAGATTTTTCATGAGTTACTGTCGGACTGTAGCCATCTCTGTTATAATTACCTCCTTCTCTGATCATGTCTCAGTAACCCTGACTGAAAATGAAGACCACATTGATCGGGACTTAAGACTTTTATCCTAGTCTGTGACTTCTATAGTCGGTACCAGCCTTATACACTGTTTTGCTCTTGTTCAATTGCCTTTAATGTATCTCCAGTACAACAACACTTTAACTGTGTAATTAAGGAGAGTTATATGTTCAAACTAAGAATAAACACTGGGGTTTCCCCTCACCTTGCTCTTTCCTGTCACAGACACAGCATAACTCCCTAAGAGACTTGGGCAAATCATGTATTGTTTGCTTTCTACCCTAGCTGTAACATGAGAAGTCATATCTATCCCTTAGGGCATATTTTGAAGTTTAGCTCATTACTGTTTGAAATGTTCTGAAGTTCTTTAGTTAAAAAAAAAAACAGAAGAAAAATGAAATGTCAAACCTAGAGTTCCTTTCATGGGTAAAAAAAGAACAGCTTCATGTTGTTAATGATCATGAATCATTTTTGATTCACAAGTCATGATTTTACTTGAGGTTCAGTGCATAAGGCTGGTACCTTCCATCAACAACTAGTGGTAGAGACAACATTAAGTGGTGGCAGGAGCCCATTTTCTAATATTCTCCCAAGGACGTATGCTCCAAGGCTTCCTTGGGTAGTCATGTTAGTACTTGTCCTCTAAGTCAAGTTCTAATTGAACCCAGACATGGTACCACTTTTGCCCATGTTTAGACCTTCCTTAAGATGGAGCCTATTAATCTTTCATATTCTCAATACATTTGGTGGTACATTTCTTGTATCTTGTCTTTTTTCTTTTTTTTTTTTTTGCAAGAAAAACCATACTCCACTTCTACAATTCTTATTCATATATAAGAATATATATCTTATTCATATATAACAACCTTTTGCTTTCTCCATACATCTTCCTGTTTCTCTTTAGTTTTCCCCATGTCCAAGTTTGTATCTAGGACCCAACACTTTAATATATATTGACTAATACTTAGCAGAGACCAGGGTCTGTCATCTAGTATTTGATCGTCCCACAGTCTAGAATGTGTTGTGCTTATTTTTGCTCAAGAGTGCTGCATTGCCCTTACAAGTAGGCTTACAGAGATTCCCACTCCTATGCACATCTCTAGATTCCCATGCTGGCCTGGCCTCTGACCTTTCAGACAGATACCCACTCCATTCCAGTCACTCCAAATTTCTGGTCTTTGTCCTCGAATCTGCCTACCACATAACCAGGTGTGCTAGCCTTCCATGTCAGCAGCTGGAGCTTTTCCCTATGGGGCCTCTGCTAACCTCACAGGCTGACCATATCCTAACCCCTGAGTAAGTAGAAAAAAGCATGKAAAATACAATGTAAACCCTTCCTGGAGCATACATATGCTGTCCGTCTTGTTTAAGAACGAGCTTGAGCCTCCCAGGCAATATCAGTTCTGAGTTGAAGCCATGCTTCCCAGAGGATGGTCTGCATCCCAGCAACTGCTTCCCATCCCTCATCCTGCATCCCCAGTTCTCACCAGAAACTTTCCCCTTCAGCCTTGGGCTGCACTGAATAGCGCAATAAACTATCCCCATCAATTAACCTTCCAATACTGCATTCAACATCCTTTTCCATAATTATTCTTATTCAATGTGATAGTATGAGCAGTATAGATTAGCCTAAAATAAATAGGAAATAATCAAGTGCTTAAAAGTTTATTTTAACCAGCTGAGGGCCCCAAGAGTTGCTTCCTGACACCTCTTCTGTTATCTGCCTCGCCGTAGGCACCTTGATTGCAGCATTCCCAGCCTGACCTGGATTTCACTCCTATCCCAGCCTTTCTCCAGTCCAGCTCTCCACCGAGTTAGAAGAAGATATTACATAGATGATCCCCAAATTAAATATATGCTGAGAATGATTATGCTAGCTTCTAGTGATTTTGAAAGACAGGAGTTATATTGCAGTCATTTTAATATATCTTTTTAAGTCATTACATTAGGGAAAATTTCAAACACAGGGCAAGCAAGTAGTATGGCAGACCCAGCCAACTTCAACAGGTGTCAGTATAGCCATCATGTTTAACCATGGGCCCATGAACAGCCCCTCACTTTCTTGGACTGTTTTCAAGAAAATCCTAGACATCATATCATTTCATGTATTAATTTTTGAAATCTATGCCACTATTACTTTATCTGAATGCAATTTCTTTCTTTGTTTTTAGTCTGCTAAGATGTTCTCTTATGCTGGATGGAAGCAAACCTGTAACACCCTGTTTTTCATCTTCTCTGCCATATTTTTCATCAGCCGTCTCATTATTTTCCCCTTTTGGTGAGTAGACAAGGTTCCATGCTCTGTGTTTGGTCAGTGTGCTAAGGTGGCCTGGGTGCATTCTTACATCAGAACATTACCCTTTCTGTCCTTACTTTGATCTCCAGTTATTTGTTCCAAGTTCAGTTGAAGAAAAGAATATTATGAAGTTATTTTTATTTAAAGAGCATGAAATTTTTAATATTTTACATTTTTATAAATAATTTTAAAAAAACATACTCCTGTGCAGAGAGGCTTATTACAAAGGGAGATGGAGAGTATGTAACCCAATGTGTGAACAGCAGTTCTTATTCCATGTCTTGGTGAACAGCAATTCTTACTCTGTGTCTTGTTTCATGACTAAGATCTTCCTTTGTGATTAACAGCTTTTCCATTTTTCTCAATGAAAAGTCATTGGCCAATCATGGGGTCTTCAGAACAAAGGCATGCTCCATGTTATAATACTTACAGCCCTTAAGTGCCAGCTGCTACACTAGGTTTTGTACATATCTTGGCTCTAGTCTACACATCAAATCTTAAAAGATAGGTAATATCATTCCAACTTCTCACATAAGAAAACTAAAGCTCATTTCATTCTCTGTGAAACAATTTGGTTTTAGAAATAATTGGGGTATCCTTTTGATACTGATTGGATTTTGATCAGTCTGTTGGTTTTGGTTAGCCATAGACCGGCAGTGAAGGACCTATATTATGTCTCCCATAGCTGTCCTTCCTTTGCAAGCATAATTTCTCATGTCTTGATTGACAGAAACCAGAGTAAACATGTGGGAAAGGTTTGGATGGCTTGAAAGGAACAGCCTTTTTTTTTCTTTTAGTTTTATTGATTTTTATTTTTTAAATGCATGACAGCGGAATGCATTACAATTCTTATTACACATATTAAAGTACAATTTTCATATCTTTGTATATAGAGTATGTTCATGCCAATTCATGCCTTTATATATGTACTTTGGTTTTTTGCATTACAATTCTTATTACACATATATACCACAATTTTTCATATCTCTATTTATACATAAAGTATGTTGACACCCAATTCGAGTCTTCATACATGTACTTTGGATAATGATGTCCATCACATTCCACCATTCTTGCTAATCCCATACCCACCTCCTTTTCCTTTCCACCCCTCTTCCCTATCTAGAGTTCATCTATTTCTCCCATGCTCCCCCTTCCTACCCCACTATGAGTCAGCCTCCTTATATCAGAGAAAACATTCAGCATTTGTTTTTTGGGGGGATTGGCTAACTTCACTTAGCATTATCTTCTCCAAYGCCATTCATTTACCTGCAAATTTATTTTCTTTTATTCTCTTTTAATGCTGAGTAAAATTCCATTGTGTATATATGCCACATTTTTTTATCCATTCATCCACTGAAGGGCATCTAGGTTGGCTCCACAGTTTAGCTACTGTGAATTGTGCTGCTATAAACATTGATATGGCTATATCCCAGTAATATGCTGTTTTTAAGTCCTTTGGGTATAGACCAAGGAGAGGGAGGGATAGTTGGGTCAAATGGTGGTTCCATTCCAAGTTTTCCAAGGAATCTCCATACTGCTTTCCATATTGGCTGTACCAATTTGCAGTCCCACCAGCAGTGTATGAGTGTACCTTTTTTCCCACATCTTCGCCAACACTTATTGTTGTTTGTCTTCATAATAGCTGCCATTCTGACGGAAGTGAGATGATATCTTAGAGTAGTTTTGATTTGCATTTCTCTTATTACTAGAGATGATGAGCATTTTTTCATATATTTGTTGATTGATTATATATTCTCTTCTGAGAAGTGTCTGTTCAGGTCCTTGGCCCGTTTGTTGATTGGTTTATTTGTTTTTTCGGTGCTTAACTTTTTGAGTTCTTTATATATCCTAGAGATTAGTGTTCTATCTGATGTGTAAGGGGTAAAAATTTGTTCCCAGGATGTAGGCTCTCTGTTCACCTCACACATTGTTTCTGTTGCTGAGAAGAAAATTTTTAGTTTGATTTCATCCCATTTATTGATTCTTGGTTTTAATTCTTGTGCTATAGGAGTCTTATTAAGAAAGTTGGGATCTAATCCCATAAGATGAAGATTAGGACCTACTTTTTCTTCTATTAGATGTAGAGTCTCTGGTTTAATTCCTAGGTCCTTGATCCATTTTGAGTTAAGTTTTTTGCATGATGAGACATATGGGTTTAATTTCATTTTGTTGCATATGGATTTCCAGTTTTCCCAGCACCATTTTTGAAGATGCCATCTTTTCTCCAGTACATGTTTTGGGCACCTTTGTCTAATAATAAGATAATTTTAATTTTGTGGGTTAGTCTCTGTGTCCTCTATTCTGTACTATTGTCTACCAGTCTGTTTTGGTGCCAATACCATGCTGTTTTTGTTACTATTTCTCTGTAGTATAGTTTAAGGTCTAGTATAGCGATGCCACCTGCTTCGCTCTTCCTGCTAAGGATTGCTTTAGCTATTCTGGGTCTCTTATTTTTCCAGATGATTTTCATGATTGCTTTTTCTATTTCTATGAGGAATGCCATTGGGATTTTGATTGGAATTGCATTAAATCTGTATAGTGCTTTTGGTAGTATGGTCATTTCGCCAATATTAATTCTGCCTATCTAAGAGAAAGGTAGACCTTTTCATCTTCTAAGATCTTCTTTTATTTCTCTCTTTAGGGTTCTGTGGTTTTCATTTTATAGATCTTTCACCTTTTTATTAATAAGATTCTTGATTCCCAAGTATCTTATTTTATTTATTTTTTTTAGGTTATTGTGAATGGGGTAGTTTTCCTCATTTCCTTCTCAGAGACTTTGTCACTGATATACAGAAATGCCTTTGATTTATGGGTGTTGATTTTATATCCTGCTATTTTGCTGAATTAATTTACTAGTTCTAGAAGTTTTCTGGTGGAGTTTTTTAGGTCTTCTAAGTATAGAATCATGTCATCAGCAAATAGTGCTAATTTAAGTTCTTCTTTTCCTATTTTTATGCCTTTGATTTCTTTTGACTGTCTAATTGCTCTGGACAGTGTTTCAAGAACTATGTTGAATAGAAGTGGTGAAAGAGGGCCTCCTTGTCTTGAGGAACAGCCTTTAACACATCTTAGTGCAGGGCTAGTCTGGATACTTCAGATCCCCTCAACAGAAGAATTGGTACTATTGAAGATTCTTGGATCCCAGAAAGATAGATGGAGACTCTGGTTCTAAGCCTCATCCTAGGTGAATGGACAGTACCCTTAATTAACACCCAGGGGGTGTCTGGCCAGAGGCAAGCCCGCTGCATTCTCTCTACCTTGGCTAGGTGTCTTGCATTTTCTGGACAGGAGCAGCCCAGTGCAGTGGTTAAGTTCTTAGATGTGACTCAGGCCTGGATTCAGGCATGTGATCTTGGACAGATTAGGTCATCTCTCAACTCCTCTGTTTTCTTATTTTTAAAATGGAAATAAGGGTTGACACAAGGATTACCAGAAGTAATACACATAAAATAGTTCTAGTAAAATGACTGGTACTTAGGCAGCATTTATTTAATCTTTACTATTATTGCTAGAATTATTAATGAGTATTTCAAAATTTGGAGTTTAATCTAGAATCAAATTCAAGATATATGCCTCATACATTCCTTAGTTGACAAATCACATTACTATCACTTTTGCTTTGACTGAACAAGTATGTTTGTGAAATTACAGTGTTGTATGATWGCAATTATTCGTTATCATTATTATTATTACTATCACCATCATCATTGTTATTTTTGCAATACTGGGGATTGATACAGGTTCTCACTCATGCCAGGCAACCATTGTACCACTGAGCTACATCCCAGGCATTGGTAGCATTTATTGATGAGATAAATGTTGACTTTCAGTTGGAGATAGTTTTTTGGTGTGATTTTTATGGCAGTGTAAGTCCAGCACTTTCCCCACTATGCATCTCATATCCAAAGACACCACACATTCCAGTTGTCTGTGGCTACATAACAAACCATCTGAACATTGGTGGAGAAATTTTTTTCCTGTAAAGGGCTAGAGAGTTAAGATTTTAGGCTATTAAGGCCATATATCATCTTAGTTCAATATTTTTTTTGTTTTGTTTTGTAACTCTTTAAAAATGTACCAAGCCATTTTTAGCCCACAAGCTATATAAAAACGTGTTGCAGGCCAGAATTTATCAACAGTCAATAGTTTACAGACCTCTCTCTTAAAACAACAACATCACAATGGTAATGTTTCAACATTACAACCATCTCTAATGGTTCTTAAAGTTGATTAGCCTTAGCTAGAAGGTTTTCAATTAGGTGTCTCATATGGTTACAATCAGATGGTGGCTGGGTGGTTGGGTAGTGGCTAGTGTTGGAATTTTCTTGAAGCCTTCCTCAGACACATATTTGAAGTAGCATCAGCTGGTAGACTCTTTGCTGGCTGAGATCTGAGCTGGAGCTGTAGACTGGAGCTCCTCAGATGACCCCTTCCATGTGGGCTTGGCCTGTTTATAGCACAGCAGCTACATTCATGCATGAGCATAATGAGAGAGGTAGGCAGACACTGTCCTTCTAGTACTCTGCCTCAGAAGTCTTATCATGTCTCTTCCTACTCCTTGGTCTTGGTTGGAACCAGATCCCTAAGGCCAGCTCATAATCAAAGGAAGGAAACTCTGTTTCTTGATGTAAATTGTTTCCAAGAATTGGCAGACCTGTTTTTAAAAAACACATCATAGAAGCTCTCAGTTCAGAGAACTCTGTGAGAAATTTATATGCTATTGCTTCTGGGTTGGCTTTTCATTTAGCAATGGAGAACATTCATCTCAGATATTTCCTATGTCTCAAATAAACAAGCCTGTTTGCTTCCATAACAGTCAAACACAGTGGAGGGGTTGACTGTGGAGATAGTGCACTACTTTCCCACACACTTCAACATTAAAAATCCTAGACTTAGGAACTTATTCTCCTGCCAGCATTTCTGAATTTCAAGAAGAATTAGTTACATGCATTTGACATTTTCTTGATCTGAGAACTGAA